GACTCTTTCATTGGGCCCATGATATGTCTCACTTGCAGTTCGTTTTATTTTGGCCCATATAGAACTGTCAAAAAAAAGCCACAGCCCTAGGGCCAGCCCGTTCAAAGCCTAATTAATTTTTTAGCCCTCTTCCTAAGTCCAATCCATTTATTGGTTGGGTTAGGGCTTGCCGTGGATGAAAAATATTCAACTCAGAGTAACTCAGTTGGCACATGAGAGTTGAGAAGGTGTGAATGAGAGTAAATAATGGTAGCTTAGTTTCCGTATAGGAATCGAGTAGGTAGGGATATGTATCTGATCTTACCCAATATTATCTTTAAAAAGGATTTAAAATCTTAATTCTGAACTCGTCTCAAATGAGAGTAAAATATTGGTTATCACATTGTTGTGAGGACCGGGATGAAGACGTCTTTCAGATGAATCGTCACATGCCATAACTAATTAAAAACTACTCATTAAACACCAGGCATTATGTAAAATATCTACATATAATTAATTACACAACACATGTCAATGTTAGGATAAGACAAATGAATTAAAATAAAAAATTATAACAAATATTCACTAATTAAAATAAATCCTAAGTATTATTCACAAATCCTCTAATTATATAATATTATCTAGTTATGTAATATTATATATATTATAATCTAATTATATGAATATTATCTCATTATCTAAATATCTAAATGACTACTAAGATATTATTATGTAATTAAATCAGTAATAAATTATTTTTTAAATTTTTCTTTCAACTTTACATTTACCTTTGAAATATTCATTTTATAAGATAAAATAGTTTTTAATACTATTAATTCATGAATTAATTTTGACTAACAGATTTTTATTTTTATTTTATTTGTGTGAGAATTTTAACATTAGCATAAAAATTAATATCACTAAATTACAGGCATCGATCAGAAATTATTTTTTCTACTTACTCTTTTGAAAATTACTTTTATTCATGAGTGCATACTTAGTTGTGTTAAACGGTTAGTGCTCCCTTGACTTAGTGTATAGAGACTCAGGATACAAAGTTTGCCACTGCCAGTTAGGGAAGCCAAGTGTATTTATTTCTTGTGTATATGAGGCAATTTCCTTTGAGACTATATAAACCAATAGGCAATAGCAGGTCCAGCATGACAGTCAGAGAGTATATCATATATAATTGAAAGATAAAATGATTAAAAATTAAATGACACAATAAACTCAAAATCAAAGCAGGTAAAATGTGTACAAAACAAATGTTTGTTTGTCATCACCCAGTTAAAATTTAACATGATTATGTCATGTGAGAGAATCGTAACCATTAATAATCAAATCAACGACAATGATTGTGTTAATTTATATCCTTATATTTTTTTCCTCTCTCTTTCTTATCACCATTAATCCACCGGTTATGATTGCATCACATGACATAAATATTAAAGTGGAAAATACATCCTCTCATGTCTAATTTAAAATGGTCATGTTAATTTGCACATAAGAGTATCCACTCCCTTAAAAGTGTCAATAGTCTTACAACACTAATTACTTCAAGTGATGATGAACTCATTTTTGTCTAAGTGAACCCCGAACCCCAGAGCAATATTAAAAAAAAAAAATTGTATCTTTATTTCCCATCACATCATAGTAACATTGATAACTAGCACGAGGATTTAAATCTAGTATTTATCGAGCATTCATGCTCTGTTCCGTTTAATTACAACTAATACTCAATATTGCAAATATCCAGTACAATAGCACTATGTTTAGTTGCAGTATGACTTGATTATAGGAGGATAGAATTTGCATTCTCCAATACTATATGAAAATTCCAGGATGCCATGATAATATAAATGGTCCGATATTAAAATTCTTGAATATATATCTGAATCATAGTTGATAATATACTTATGTTTTTTCTCAACACTTAATGCAAGCAGTACCACATTCTTATTTGGCTTGGTCTTGTTTATGTGCATTTGTAACATAAAGCCTATGATTTTATTCTATACATAGAAAGCCAATCATTTGAGACCATGTAACACATATTCCATCTATGGAAAAACATAATACAAAGCACTTCTACAATAACCTTAAAAACATAACTTGATCTTTCTTTTATTTGTTTCTTTTTCTTTCTGCAATAACCAAGTTTCATGACTAATAGAAAGCCCAAGTGGAAAGCAAGCCAAAGAAAAGATAAGAACAGACTGCAATAATTTACCTTGTCAAATGCAGAAGATCCCACACCACCTTTTTTCCTCACAATGTATTCTCTGTACTAACGCCTCTTGTGCAACCCACAGTAGCTCTTCCTAACAACAAAATCCCCAAAACCAGAGACGGCTAGTATTTGATGGCATTGAGAGATTTTCTTGCTGGGTTATCTCAATACTCCATTATTGTTATTTGTGTTAACATCGCCACATATCTGGTATCCATTAACGACGCAAGAAGAATAAGGAAGAAAGAGATTTCAATACTACAGATCTAGGTTTTTACTTCTCCATTGGGTGTTTGGTTTAGGAAAATCTTTTAGAATAGTAAGGAAATGAGATAGATAGAAAAATGATTGAAAAGATGGCTTTTTCACCCTTTTGCCCCTTATTAATTAATTAATAATCATTTTGCCCTTGATTCGAAACTATCTACTAATCTGCCCCCTCTTTAATCGACTACCTTACATTTTTAATCGACTAAACGGTTGTTGGGTGATTTAATCGACTAAATCTCTCTACTTAATCGATTAAAATCATACTGACTTATTTTTATTTTTTTTTGTAAAATATGAAGATTTAGTCGACTAAATAGGGAAATTTAGTCGACTAAATCTCCCAGCAGCCATTTTTTGTCTGTTTTGGCCATTTAGTCGATTAAAAATGCAAAGTAGTCGACTAAAGAGGGGCAGATTGATAAATAATTTCGAATCAGGGGCAAAATAGTTATTAATTAATTAATAAGGGGTAAAAGGGTGAAAAAGCCTTGAAAAGATAGATAAAGTGAGATAGGTAAAAAAATGTAAAAAAAGTTGTTTGGTAGGGAAAAACTTTACTGAGAAGATTAGGTAACTTTATGAAATCAACAGTGCATTAAAAGTCAGATAACCGATTTTCTGAAAAATCCCACTTTCAAATTGAGTTTCTAAACAGTGCGGATATCTATGTTTATCGTAAATCCAGACAAATTGAATAGATGGGTTTTTGGTGAAAAACGTTGAAACAAACATGGTGTTTCTAAAGATAGATATCCGCTGAAAAGCTCCCAACCAAACACCACTTCAATTTCTTTTTCTTTTCTTTTACAAAGAACCGTTAGTGAATAAAAATTGCTTATTTTATAACATAAAAAATCACCATGACTGGTAGTACGAACGGAAACAAACCCTAAAACATCACCTCCTCGTCGCTCTTTAAGAAAGGAAAAAATGCAGGTTTCATATTTCTCAATCACCGTCAATGTTTCGTAACTGAATCCGAAATTAAATTGTAGTGAGAGAGAATGATTTGGTGTAGCTCTGCCCCTGTTGTCTCCAGCTCCACGTTACACTTTTGATTCGAACATTTCAATTTTCTTTTTCTTTTTTTCATTTTTCATTCGCAGAACGATTCATTGGGGTTTAAAAAAAATAAAAAATAAAAATGGATTACTACCCCAGTCGTCTCCAGCTCATTTCCCTTTTTTTTCTTTTTTCATTGGCAGAAACAATGGGTTTAAAAAAAATAAAAAATAGATTAATGCCGTAGGAGGGTCTGGGCGTAGGGATGAAACTGGATCGGGCCGGCCTACGGCTCGGCCTACATCAGGCCAGACCTGACCTAGTATATTTCGTAAAATAGATTGGGTTTGGGCCTTGAAAAAGCTTGTTTAATAAAAAGACCATAAGCTCACTTTCACAAGGCCTGACCTATAAGCTTACAAGCCGGCCTATATTATACTATTTATTTTAAATAAAATAAAATATAATAAGTGTGCCTTGAAAACAAACAAAAGATATAAATTTAACCAATTGCAATTATTTATAACTTAATTATATTTGATTATATTTTAATAGAAATTTGACTTTATTTCTTATGTAGGAGTAACCAACATCTCAGCATGTTAGATTGTATATATGAATATATTAAAAGGTTTTTGGGAGAGATTATACTTACTACAAGCATCATGATGTATTCGTTGAATTCACGTAGTTATTTTAATTTACATGGTATGAATTTGTTTGTTGGATCTGATGAAATTTATATTATTTAGTTTGAGCATTTTTCTTTTGAGAGTGACTTAAATACAAATTGTATAAGTTTTGTTGTGATTCATGATTCTGTTTGGACATTGAAATTATGATTTTTGGTTTAGCAATATAATTTGAGTATTTTCTAAAGTTGATTCATGGTTCTGCTTGGAAGTTAAAAATTAACAGGCTAAGGAGCTAGGCCAGGCCATTTGTTTTTTTATAAACAGGTCAAGCTAGACTAACAGTTAGACTCGTATTAAGCTTGGATCAGACTAAATTAAAATTTTTTGACACAAGGTTAAATTTTGCTGGACAAAGTTTGGGTCATTACCAAATGAGAATGTGTACATCAATGGTACATTGTACTGGATAACCTCAGGTAGGGCCTTTAGTGTTATGGGTAATGACGATGCTATTTGTTTGTACAGAGACCTTGGATTATGTGATTTTTGACCCGCGAGTTGCTCCTAACTAGTTGAGTTATGTGAATTTTTGGCCTGCACTGTTTAGCATGCGGGCTCTTTGGCCTTGTGGGCTTTTTAGCTCTGGTCCACGTGAGCTAAGGTCAAACAGACTAAGGTGACCCGGGTGAAATGGTCCGTTTTGATAGCTCTAAGTTGAATAGTCTCATGTTTCAATATTTGGTTACTTTGTTATTGGGATTAATGTTTTTCATGAATGTTATAAGAGATAATTTTATCTGTTACAATATCCACGTAAGAATCATACGAGGAGAACGAAAAATTTCTTCAATGCAATAAGAATACTGAAATCGATAATCCTTTTTACTAAATAGGAATTTTATTTTATTTTTACCCATGCTTTTATTTATATTTTCTTTTATATTCCCAAAACTTACCCTTTTTGGCATGATATACCTACATCGGCTGCAAACCATTGTGTACGAGGTTTTGGTTGGTGCTAGAAGCAGTGGATTCTGTTGTTAATTTTCTTTAATTTATAAAGCAACTGAAGCTATGGAGATTTACAAGAGATTGGTCAGGCAGAACAAAGACTTTGTCCACTCCTTGGAGTCTTTGGCCAATGTAATCTTCTTCTTCTTCTTCTTTTTCTTTTATATATTTTCAAGTCGTGGTTTTTGTTGTTTTAGCTGTTTAATTTGGTGGTATTTGTGCTGTGCTTAATTTTAATATATATAATTTCAATTGAAATTTTGGAAACAAGGGTAGTTTTGATATGAGTTTTATGCTTTATTATGCTGTTAGTTATATATACTCACAGATTGAGAAATAGGTTTATGAAAGGGTGAGGAAGTGGGGTTCTATAATATATAATTATAATTTCGTTTTAGTAGCTTAATAGCATAGGTTCTATCTGCAGGTGGCTTTTGAATTTTTATTTTCAATATATATTGCTGTGTTTGTTTTTTGTGTGGTTCTTATGATATGAGTCTATGGAGGGATTCGTGTTGAAACAGGAGTTTTTATTTGTTGACATATTGTGCTTTGATTGTTATCTTATTGGAGGATTGAAAATGTGAATAGGGTTTGACGTGGCTACTTCCTGAACGGTTCTCTGACTCAGAGATTGGACCAGAAGCAGGTTTTGTGAAATTTTGGTAACTTTTGGCTACTTCTTTTTGAGTTTGTTTCTAAATTACACTATACTTTCTCTCACTTCAAGCTTGTATGTTCTTATGGTGACAAAATTGGACGAAAAATTTTCAAAGTAGAAAAAAAAATTGTGACTGAACTGGCACAGAGTAGAAGCTTCTATCTCCTATCATATGTTCATGTTAATCTTTAAAATGCTAACTAGAAATAAGTTTGCCAGGAAGACATTGCACCTTCCTAGATTTCAAGTGTTGCAATGTTTCAAAATCACTTGACATTCCTTCTGGTTACTCACATTTTCTTTCTAATGGAACAGTTGTCTTTTTTTTTTTTTTTCTCGTATTATATGTAGCTGAAACGTTGAAAGTGGAAACTTACTTTAAAAACACCGTATGATTTTATGCAGTAACAACCATTCTGGGGATTATCACAGCTATCAATGAACATATAATTGATACAGCCCCTGCTCAAGATGTTACAGGCTCTGTTGAGCCTTATTCATTTCCTTATTCATTGTGCTTATCTGCATTGAAGGATTTGGAAACATTAGTTGAAGTTGTGGCACAACATTACTGTGGTGATGATAAGAAATGGAATTTCCTTGCTGTTACCGAAGCAACAAAGTAAGCAACATAATGTAATTTAGCATTTGTTCCTTCCTACTATCCTCAGCTTGTAGTTATCTCCATAGCCATTGATCCATGTGTCTTGTTATCTTGAGTAACTCTAACTCAGGGTACTGGTTCGGTTATCTTTGTTTCGAAAGAGTGGATATAAGTTGCTGCTATCTGGAGGGGAGACTTGTAATGATGAGACAGATTCAAATAGTTTGACTTCACCACATCAAATAGGCTTAAAGCCTGGTGAGAATTATGGCTCTAGTTACATAAAAAACAATCATGGTTCAAATCCATGGAATATGGAAGGAAGAGCACTGTCTGCTTTAAGTAAATTTGGAGAAAATGCAAGGATTGTGTCAGAACCATTGTGGTTGCGTCGGGTTCAACACCAACAAGCAATTATGGAGCCTCCAGGCAATATGTTTTAAGTATATTTTTAGCAGCAGTATAATTGATTGTAATGGGAAATTCAACTAATACTTGCTTGCCCTCTGCTTACTTACATTTTCAGTGGTAGAGAGGCCAACACTCTTCAGCATATTGTCCAGGAAGGGTCTTCGTGGGGCAATGTTTTTGATTGGAGAAGTTCTATTTATTACTAGGCCACTTATTTATGTTTTATTTATTCGAAAGTTTGGTATTCGGTCATGGACACCTTGGTTCCTTTCACTGGCTATTGACTGCGTAGGGATGAGTATTCTATCACTAGTTACAACATCAGTGGCTGATGGGAAGGAGCAAATGTTTCATCTTTCTGCCCCAGAAAAGGATGAGGTTTGAGTTTCCTTAGAGCTATACCATGTAAAGATATAATCTGCACCGGGCTTTATGGTCTTCTACATGAGTCTTGGTCAATAAAACTGCATTTAGAACTGTCTTATTTGTCATTAATGTTAAATCCATTAAAAGAGTTGGTACTGAAATAGTTTTGCTTCAGGTTAAAAGACGGAAGCTGTTATTTGTACTATACCTAATGAGAGATCCTTTCTTCAGCAAATATACTAGGTAGCAATGATTTACTTGTTCTCTCACTTTGCTTCTTCTTCTGCTCTCTCTCTCTTTTAGCAATATGCTTCCTCTAAATTGGAGAAAACACTGATAATAAAAATCTCTCTTTAATATTTCAGGAACAGACTTGAAAGCACAGAGAAAGTTTTGGAACCAGTTCCTGTCATAGGATTTCTTACTGGTATGCTTGATACTCATTTATTTCCTTCATTGTTCTTTTTCTGCTTTAATTTCATGTCATCAATCTGTGTTGGTCAACTACTTTGAGTGTCTGATCTGTTTTTTCAATATGTGTTGCAGCAAAAGCTGTTGAACTAACGATTGGAGCTCAAACAAGATACACTTACATGTCAGGATCATAATATAACATGGAAATGAAATGTTTCACTACCCTCCCAGATTGTGGGAAGATATTCTTTCTGTGATTCCACATTCTCTTGTTCCACATATTTTTAATTTCAAGGAGATATCAAATTTGCTATAATTTTGATTGACAAGAAGCCAGGAAACCAGATATGGATAGTGTTATGTGGGACAACTTGTTATTGCAAGGATGGCTCCACTATCAACAACTGGGTTATTTGGACATTCTTAGGGAGCTTTTGTTCTACTACACATTGTGTGTAGGTGGGGTTATTACAGTTGTTGTTCTGAGCATTAATTGGCAAGTTATTTATCTGCTTATTATGCTCAAAAAATTGTTATCTGTTCAATCTCAATCAATCTGTTAATCATTAGGCTTGTCTTCCATGATCATCCTTGTGTGGTCAAATGTTCTTACATTGTTTTGGTTTTTTTTTACCATTTGGACAATGATGCCCTTTACCTCCTAAAAAGGCTACCATGTGTCTTGTTTGTATATTCAAGTGTTGCTACAAAAAGTACATATATATTCTTTGTAAACTGGTGATATTCATAATATCTAGCTTGTATTGTATTATTTTGTATTCTTATTCATTCATGACTAGAATGTCACCAAGGGGATTTACTTATTGTCATAGTACTAAAATAATAATATAATCAGATAATAATATAAAAAATTACTAAAGACTTTTTTTTTGGTAATTAAAATTACTAAAGATTAAAATTAAGTGACTAATATGACTAAACAAATTAACAAACATTTATGTCATCATCTTTTATTTTCAATTTAGGCAAAAAATATCCTTTTAGTTTTTAAAGAATGTACTGGACGTTGAATTAACTAGACATCTAGTCATAGTACAATTAATTCAATAGGTTGAGTTTGTAATTTAACTATAATTGAATAATAAAAAACCATATTTATATAACTCCAATTGAAAGTCAACCCATTTAAAATACTAGGTCTTTTGAGTTTGTTCTGGCTGCCCCTTTTAGCCTAACAAATTAGGCCTAATTTTAATAGTCTATATCTAAAATCTTTTAGAAAACATTCCATGATGAACCATATAGTTTTTTTTTTTTGAAAAATGAACCATATAGTTTTAGGGTTTTATAAGAGTTATGTTGTAAGAAAAGTGATTGTGTAATGTTATAGAGATTCGTTTTGCGTGCCTTAATTTTTTATTTATTTTTTTGTTTTAAAAAGTGTGGGCCCCACAAAATGTTGTGAGGGTAGGAAAGTTTGTTGTGTTATGTTAAGGTAGTGTTTGGTTGGGGAGAAGTTAAAATTTTGGTGGGTAAATGCATGTGGGAATCTGACTCAACCACGTTTGGTTGAAGCTTTTTGGAAAATTTTCCTAGCAAACAGGTTTCCCCAGCAATGCAAGAAGAAGTGCAAAAATTGGATATTGACACTGTTGAAGAATCCATTTCAACAGGTGGTATTGGTTGAGGGTATCGGATAAGTGAAAATGGTTGAAAATGGCATGACAAATATACCCCCTCTTTCTTAACCACACGTTGAAAATGGCACGCCAGCACTGAACTGGTTTGGTTCATCAGAAATGTTAAAGAACCCAAAGGCAAAATCACCATCGGAGGAAACCCAACAGTTATTGTCAACCACAGAAAGTTTGGAACCCAAAGGTATCAGAGCTGTCACAACAGGAATGTTCAACTTGAATGGATCAAATCTCACGACCCAAATTGAAATTTTCTTAATTTTTTATTTAGTTGAAACTTTTCATAGAACCAAACAACTTAGCTGAAAAGGGACCGGACTTAAAAGAGAAGAGAGTGAGTTGAACAGTGAGGAATGAACAACACAATTGTTAAGTGGATGATTGGTTGGGAAAGGACATGAAGTTGAAGAGTATGAGTAACTGAAAGGTTTGGGTGGAAGTGAGTGAAAATGGGGTTGCTTTGAGGATGCTGCAAGTAGCAATTCAAAGAAGAAAGCGAGTGAAAATGTTTAATTTTATAAAAAGGTTAATTTCGTCTTTTGCATTTTTTTCCCATCACAATTTTATTTTCAACCAAACACACATCAGGATTTTTAACCCAATTTTCTTAGTAATATTTTGCCCTACCAAACAACTTTTTTTAAACTTTCCTACCAAACTAACTTTCCAACGTCTTTCCTAGTAAAGACAATTACCCACTTTAAAAAAATTTCTCCTCGACCAAACACTACCTAAAGGATAAAACAAAAATCCATAGTTTTATCACCGAGTATTTCCTTATCTTTGCATAGCTGCCCCCTATACATTGATAATGGGCACAACATACTTTGTCTCAAAGATAAGACTTGGCAGAAGTGGTACATCTTTAGTCTCCCTCTTTTTTCTTCTCTCTAAATACCTCTTTCTCATATGAAAGGGGGATCATATCATCGCGCTTCTATTCATTCTATGAGCTATTACTTTGTATAAATGTAGAGCCACTATATCCATTTACACATTTTCCCCCTTGATATACAGCACATGGAAAGCTCCAACAGAGCCTTGATTGATATTATGACTGCTAAGAGCACCCCTAAAATGATATAATTTATCCCTTGAGGGATACATCAGTGGCTCTTGCAAACCCAAACAGTTCAGAGTTAATACATAAATATTCTAATCTCCAATTACGTGGTGGAACCCAAAAAAAAAAATATCATACAAAAAATACTATATACAAATACTTCATAAAAAAATTATTAATTAAATGAGGTAAGTTATACTATATAATATTGGGTTTTTGACCCTTTTGCTCCTAATTAAATAATTAATAACCAATTTGCCCCTCCCCCAGAACTATCCACCATCCTGCCCCCATTTAGTCGATTAAGTTGCACTTTTAATCGACTAAATGGGCTAAACTCGGAAATTATGAAACGCGAATTTTAGTCGACGAAAAACTCACCTTAATCGACTAAATTGTTTGCACTTTTAGTCGACTAAGCACATTATTTAGTCGATTAAAGATCGCGAAAAACCCTATATCCAGACCTCTCTTGGGCTCATTTTCAAAATATTCGAAATCAAAACTTCTCTCTTGGTCTCTTTCTCTTGTTTGTCAGCTGGAAACCTTCCAATCACCCTTCCATTTCATCCCACCACCTCTAAGACATAGTAATTGTGAAATCATTGTCATTTTCCTTTATTTCTCAATTGTTTCCCCCAAATCCGAACCCTAACCCCTAAAATCTGATTCCTACCCCCAAAATTCGTGTGAAAGATGAGCTCAAGTCCAAACATGTATGTTACCATAATTTACTATGATGGAAAGCATTATGAAGGCCCCAACGGTGTTCAATTTGAAGGAAAAACGAAAATGTTGAAAATCAAACGGGGCACTACGTACAATGAGTTGGAGGGGAGGATTAACCAAAAATTGGGGCTACACGGCAGCCATGGCGTTCAACGGATGATCGCCAGGGTAGAGTCTACAGTTGGTAAGGATGCTATATTCTACATTGGTAATGATATATGTGACGATGAAGATGTGGATTGTGTCATAGATGCAATTGTGGACCGAAAATTTCAAAACTTTATTGAGATATATGTTGAAATAGACTGTGGTCAATCTTCATCTGCACCTGTGCATGGAAGAAGTCAAAGTCAAGAAGACAGAGTGGTCGGTTTATCTGCACCTGCACCTGTCTTAAGTCAGATACCACTGAGGGAAATAGACGAGGATGAGGATGGGCATGACGAGGATATGGACAGTGAAGACGATGGTGAACCCGAGAGTGTTATTCCGCTGGGTGACACCTCAGATACGGACGTAGAGGGGAATTTTGACGCTGATACTAGTTCAGGAAACTTGAGTTCCCAGGTTATGCCACCGCTCCGTGTTGACCCTGTTAGCAGTGGTAAGATTGTAATATAAAGTTTTAATTTTGCATATATATATATTTGTGTTTTCTTTCGTACTGATGGATAAGTTTAAATTTGGACGTAGGGTCTGAGATTGAGCCATTTTGGAACGACAACCCACACTATTCGTTCATTAATTGGGCTCACCCTAATGATGAGACGGAGATATTGTATGGCGACGATGACATCCACGGTGGCTGGCATTTAGGAGATCCATTATATTTGTACCAGGAGTTTCGAACTAAATCTGAAATGCAACATGCTGTCAAATTATATTGTATGAAGTCTCATCGTACTGCTGTGGTGGCAAAAAGTGATGACCATAGATTTGTGATGAAGTGTCGACACCATAATGATGGTTGTCCGTGGTACGTGCGGGCTATGTTGCCCAAGAATGGAAATAGTTGGGTTGTTAGTAAGTGGGGTAAAAAACACACCTGCCTAAACCAAGGCCTTACTCGGGACCATAGACAGCTGGATTCTGATGTAATCTGTGCAGCCATTATAAGTATGTATTACATTCATTTTTGTTTATGGTTTAATTTTTCGGTATATTTATTGATTGTGTTGACTTCGAATTTTGTATAGGTATGTTAAAAGAAGATCCATCCACGAAACCAGTTCTTATTCAGGAGAGGGTACAAAGTTTGTATGGATACAACATATCTTATAGGAAGGCTTGGAAGGCTGAAATGAAGGCCATTGTGAAGTTGTTTGGCGACTGGGAAAAATCATATGCCATCTTACCTGGTTGGCTGAACTACATGACACAGATAAATCCTGGTTCTGTGTTCAAGATTGATACGGATCAGTGTTGTGACGAACGACGAGTCTACACCGATAAGGCTGTCTTTCGCAGTGTATTTTGGACTTTTCACCAGTGCATTGAGGCTTTCAAATATTGTAAACCCATAATCCAAATTGATGGCACGCACCTGTACGAGAAATACAAAGGTACCCTCTTGATTGCTACGTCACAGGATGGTGATGGATTCATTCTGCCTATTGTGTTTGCCATTGTTCCACCGGGTGAGAGATTGGATGATTGGTTGTGGTTTCTTAGCCAGATGCGTTTCCATGTCACACGTAGGCATGGTATCTGTCTAATATCCGATCGTCACCCCAGCATCATCAGGGCTGTGAAGGATCATGCCGGTTGGCAGCCTCCATTTGCGTATCACGTGTTTTGTCTTCGTCACATTGGAAGCAACTTCAACACTAAGTTTAGGGACGTGGAACTGAAGAAAACGCTGATGAAACTAGGTAACCTATTTACATGAATGTGTACATGTTGTATGTAATGTTGTTTATGTATAACTCATTGCAATTTGGGTTCATTTTTTGCAGGTTACATGTGTTCGAAGATTCACTTTGATTTAAGATTTCAAGAATTTGTCGACAGTAACCACAAGTAGCCTCATGGATAGATCAGATTCCCAAAGAGAAATGGTGTAGGTCTTATGATGAGGAGAGCTGAAGGTTTGGTCATATGACGACAAACCTATCTGAGTGTATCAATAAGGTCCTACGGGGTGCACGTAATTTGCCAATAACGGCATTGGTCAAGATGACGCAAAGTAGACTTGTTGAGTATTTTGTGAAGAGGCGTGAAAAGATCCAAAAAGTAAAGGACAAAGGCTGGAGAATTGCAAAAAAGGTTGAGGACTTTTTACAAAAGAATGATG